AAAAAAATGATTGTTTTTTCTCCTGAATATTATTATCGTTATAATTATTATAATTATTTTTTATAATACACTCAATTGAGTAAATCTTTTTAACTACTTTGTTTTGATTTAGTTCATTTAGTTAAAGTAAATTATTAAAATTAATTAAGTTCTAAATATTTCAATTGCAAATTTTTTTAAACACCAAAAGTTATTAGGATATGATTACTATTCTTTCTATTTCAGTTATCTATTACGATAAAAATGTAAAAAAATCGAATTTTTCTGACAAATGTACTGTAATTAGTAATTATAAAATTTCCAGATTGCATNTTTTCTGATAAATTTACAATAAATAGTAATTATAAAACTTTCTGACTACATATTGATCTTAACGATACAATTTTTTTAATTGTCATAAAATTTTCTATTTAATTATGTCAATGTCAAACTTACCAATTGAGCTAAAAGTTATGGTAAAATAAATTTTTTTTTTTTATTATAAACATTCAACTTTAAACGATTAAAAAAATAGGGTAAATATGTTATTTTCCTTATTTTTAATATATTAATAATCAAAATCAGTATTAATTTAAAACAATTTTTTTGATAAATGTACTGTAAATAGTAATTATAAAATTTCCTGTNTACTGTAATTAGTAATTATAAAATTTCCAGATTGCATATTAATCTTAAAAATTTCATTTTTTTCAATTTAATAATGTCAATTTCAAACTTGCAAGTTGAGTTAAAAGTTATGGTAATAAATTCATTTTTTTTTTAATAAAACTTTCACTTTAAAGGACAATCAGAAGTTGGTTCAAAATGATTACTTTTAACATATTAAAAATCGATAATAATTTGAAAATAATTAATTATAAAAATTATGTAATATATAATTAAACGAATTACTAATCTGTATATAATTAAGGAAATAGGGGTTGATGTTGGGTTGGGTTGGTTACATTTTTAACTTTATAATGCTATAACTCATTGAAAAATATATGAATCAACACAATTTTTTTATGAGAAATAATATTTTTTAATAATCCCTTTTTCATTCGACATACTTTATCTTAATCAGGGTATTAATAAGGAACTAGCAGATCATGTAGCTTTTGGAATAATCCACATATTTTTTAAAATTAAACACTATCTAAAGATTTGCATCGAATCGTCCCCCCAGTTTTTAGAAAATGAAACTACCGGACTCTTATTAAAATTATCTATTTGACCCTTATTTTTGTATTCTGAAAGTAAATTTTGAAATTTTTTATTTAACTTTTCTTTTTTTGTTTTAAATTTATGTTCAACTACTTGGTACATCTTCAGCTCGAAGATGTCCCACTGTGATTGATTTCTTCGATTTATTTTGCCAACCCTCACTAGACCTACTTTTTTCAACGATACGTCAAATGATTCATTTAAGTTTATGATATTTAAGTTAATGATTAGTTTAAGTTATTACTCTTAAAAATCAAAAAAATATTCCTTATTCAAATAAAAAGTAGCTTAACCACCTTTTTCCATACAAACAATTAAAATCATTAATTTTTAATATTCTTAAAGTATTTATTGTCGAATTAGATTTGATATGATAAAAGTATTCAACTACAAAAGTAAATAATTTTACCTTATAATTTATTAATTTTTTAACTCTATTTGTGTGTGCTACTATCAGTCTATAATATGCCAATTTTTTTTGTAATATGTTGCTATATAAATCATAAATTTAAAAAAAAAATGATTTTTAGTTTCACCTGAATTTAACGATGGATTTTTACAATATTAAATAAATTAAAGTAGACTATATAAGCTTTAATTTAAGATATATATAAAAGTGTCTTTCTTTTCGAAACATTTTCAAAAGTTAATTTTTGGTAAAAAAGTTACCATTTTGAAACCTATCCTGTGGGCTTGTAAAAAGACAAATGTTAACAAGAAAATATAAAATGAAAAGTGAATACCTAAGGTATCTATAAAAAAAAATTATATTGATTCGGTCATTTTCAAAAAAAGGTATGGCAATATTAAGTAAAAAAAATTGAAAAAATATCGAAAATTAGCGATTTTTAAATTTGTAATTTTTTGGGGGTTTCCCCCATTTACGGGGAACGAGGGAATTTTTTTCAATTTTTGAGGGTAATGTCTTCGACTAGATACGATTTGTGATCTTTTGACATATTTTTCATCAAAATCGGTTCGGTGATATCTGAGAAAAGTGGTAACAGACACAAAAAAAAAAAAAAAAAAACACATCATAGTAAAATTAATACCTTCTCAGCTTCGCATCAAAGCTAAAAGAAATCCAAATTATTTACATATTAACTAATAAAAAATGAACACATCAAACAAATTTTTATCTATAAAATAAAATTATTAATTCTTAATATATAAGTCTTAAGTTATGACAAAAATTGAAAAAAAAAATAAAATAAAAGGAATAGATTTTTGGTACAAATATAAATATTAGTTTTTTTTATTACATATAAAAAAAATTCAAATTGCACTTGGCAAGTATTACATATCAAGTATATATATATAAAATTTTCTATTTAATTTATTTATGGAAATAATGTTATCAAACAATTAAACATAAAAACTGTTACATATGATTAAGTTTTGGCAACTTAGGTAACAGTGCTTTCATAACAGCATCATAAAAATTTTATAAATTGCACTGGAATCCAATTTTAATATTTCAACATATTAAGTTAATTAGGTAAAAGAAAAAAATAGAAAGAAATTAATTGGTTAAACGTTAAAAAAATTAAATTTTAAAAAGCAAAAATTANAATTAATTGGTTAAACGTTAAAAAATTTAAATTTTAAAAAGCAAAAATTATTTTTTCATAGTAGAGGAATATAACAAAGCAACATAATGCTAATTAAACCCCAACCTCTTTAATGTATTTTTACTATCTAGTCGTGATGTTCCACCATCACCAGCCCATGTTTTAGACTTGGATCTAAATAATATAAGTTCTTTTTTATGTGCTGGATTTAACATAGCTGGGTAGTTAGATGGCTCACACAAGTGCCTATATTTAGTGAACAATTTACAATAACCCCCATTTAGCAAATACATTTCTGGATAGTCCAAATATGGATAGCACATACTATTATTCTCTCGATCAGCATTACGTAAATATCGTGATCTGAAAAATGTAAAAATATTTTTTAAATCTAAGTATATCATAGTTTCTTATGATATTAATGGAAACTATGACAGATGAAATTAAAAAAATTATAATACATACAATTATGGATATAATTAATTATTAATTTAAACCTATTAAAAATTATTTACAAGGGGTTTACGCTGCTATAATTCTGTTACAATATTTTTTAATTATTTAACAACTTTTCATTTGTAAAATAAAAATATAGTTGAATTATAATTTTTGTTATTAGAATTTGTAAAATTTTAAAGATTTTTTTAAACAGAAAAATACATTTAGTGTACCTTAATTTTTCCATAAGTACAAATGTTATTCAGATTAAATAGTTGTTGGAACTCATTATAAATTTAATATAGGAGCTTTTACTGTCATATAAGAAGAAAAATAATGACATTATTATAAATTATAATAATATTTTTTATAATACTTATATCAGTTAATAGATAAAATAGTAAATTCCCTAAAAATAAATTTTAATTTTTGGTATGACATTAGATAGGAATAAATATTTTGTGGCCAATGATTTAATTGATTTTTTTTTTTTATTAAATATTTATTCAACTGTTTATTATTAATTCTATCATAACTCTAATTTGAAAAAAGTAATGTTTACATTACTTGACCTTTTAACTAACAATATATTTTAAATAGAGTAACAGTTCAAATATTATCACTTTTAAAGCATTATTTATAATAAACATGATCGCTTATTAATTATATTTATTTATAATGAGTATTAAAAATGAATAAATAATTTAAAAAAGTAATCTTCTTTATTTTCTACCTTTTTCAAAAGCAGCTTTAATAGAAGCTTCACTAGTAGAAAGTGAACGTCAAAAAACTGGTTTTTCTTTTTTACAAAATCCATAATTAAATAAAGTACACTTTCCCTGAGATACAGGGGCAGTTAAAGGACTGTTTATGTAATCAAGTCATGGAGAATCAAATGACATAGAAAGACTTGTACTAGGTCTAGTTTTCTTTAATAATACATTAGTTTCAGGATTTGATTCTAAATCACGTGTCAACTTTCTTTTTCTCACAACTGCTTCACTATTTTTAATATCACCAAACAATAAATCCTATAAGTTATACATGTATTAAATCTATGATTATTGAAATAATAAATTGTTTTATAATAATTACAGTCTTGCGAGGAGTATCTGAAGAATATTTTGTAATTTTTCTTTTAACAATAATTGATGTCTGGCTAATAATATCTCCTTCTATTAATGTACTGAATCCAAGTAGAAGTGAATCTGGAGACTAGAAATAAAATAAAATTAGGAAAAAAACTGTTAACCTTTTTAAAAGGTAAAATAATTACCGATCTTGTTGGGGATACAGCATTGTCTAAGAATTCATCATCTGAAACAGCTGTATATGATGTATTGCTCTCAGATCGCATATCAGATAATGTTGACACTGATCTAGAATCATCTGAATGAGCAGTAAGAGAACCATTGTCCTGTGAATTAGGATCATAATCTTCAAGTTGATATCGTCGTCTTACACGGCGATTGTATTTTGCAAACTAAATACCATAAATTACAATATTTATTTTCATTAATATTGAATTTCTAGAAAATTATTAAATTTAATAGTAAATTTGATATCTAACATTGATCGTGCTTTTTAATTATAGCTATTTAACAATACATAATTAACAGTTTAGAGATGAATAAAAAATTTATTTAAATTTACTGTAATAAATAAACAGATTAAGGTTAATGATTTAATTTATGCTGGGATTAATTAATGTTAATATATTATTAATACAAACTTCACAGTTTAAAAATTCACAACAGTATGGAATCTTGCATGACATAATCATTGTATAAATAATATACAATATATAACTAATACAAATTTGTATAATTATATTATTTAAAATAACTTTTTAAGTTTTGTGTTTACATAAAATAATATATTTTTAAGGATTTAAAAAATTATTTCATGATTTAGTTTAAATAAATATTTGTTTATTTAAGGTATTAATAATAAAAATATCTATACAATTTAATTGTTATTGATATATTAGCCAAGATTAAATTAAAATAATTACATGCGTTTATTGTATATCTTACTGTAGGAATAGAACGAGATGCGGATAAAGCTTTAGACATCACTACAATCTTACATTTTGATGAATTTTCTTTTTCGATTATACTGTTCATAATTTGTATAACACATTTCAATGGGCTATCGTTTATATTTTTTGAGTTTCCCTTGATTAATCTATAAATAAAAAATTATTTGTCTTTCTCTAACTCCATCTATATCCTATTTCGTAAACCCCTCAAAATATGAGTCACCTGGAAGAATTTTCTATTTTCTGCGATTTAAAATTCGCGTTCTTCGACTGCAGTCTGTAGGACTGTTTGAATAATGATTTAGAGATGGCCTAGGTCTGGCTCTAATTTATAATGGTTGTATTACACAGGTAAGTGATTTTATTTCGTTTGATAAAATTAATTTTATTTTAGCTTCGATGCGAAGCTGAGAAGGTATTGGTTTTACTAAGATGTGTTTTTTTTTGTGTCTGTTACCACTTTTCTCAGCTCTCACCGAACCGATTTCTTTCAATGATACGTCCAAAGATCACAAATCGTATCTAGTCGAAGACATAACCCTCAAAAATTGAAAAAAATTTCCTCGTTATCGTAAATGGGGGAAACCTCCAAAAAATTACAAATTTAAAAATCGCTAATTTTTTCAATTTTTTTTACTTAAAACTGTCATAACTTTTTCAAAAATGAACAAATCAAAATAATTTTTTTTTATAGATGCTCGATATCTTTACCTATCATTTGCTATATTTTTTTATAAATCTAACTTTTTAGCTGCCTACAAGTGGGGATTCAAAATGACAACTTTTTAACAAAAAATTAACTTTTTCAACTTAAATTTTGAAAGTGTTCCGGAAATACTGACATTTTTATATATATCTTAAATTAAAGCTTATGAATATACTTTATTATGGAAAATAAAAATTTCAGGCTTTATTTTGTCTTCATTGTGAAAATGCTATTATTCTATGAAAATTCTCGATTTTATTTTTTACATTTTTAACTTTATAATGCTATAACTTATTGAGAAGTGTATGGATCAACATAATTTTTTTATGAGAAATAATATTTTTTAATAATCCCTTTTTTAACACGCTTATATTAGTTTCACATGTATGTATGTATGTATGTATGTATGTATGTATGTATGTATGTATGTATGTATGTATGTATGTATGTATGTATGTATGTATGTATGTATGTATGTATGTAACTCTCAAAACGCCACGCGTTATCGCATATTCCGTCGTCTAGACTAGATTGTCATAACGCATTCACCCCACCCTACGCCTCGCTCATTACACGCCGGCAATACTATTCCTGTATAAATTTATTTTTGGTTATCGTACCCGTACACGCGTACTTGTCATCAATATTATATATATATATATATATAAACAAATTTTTATTTTGACTGACCAATACCATCCGCGTGTCATACGTCTTACGTATATATTCCTACCGCCGTTTATACCTCAGGTATAACGTTAGTCCGACTCGCCCGCCCACAAAACACAGCTATACCTAGTGCATGATACGTTTACGTACTTAAGTCGCTTTACTTGTATATATATATATATATATTCTAATTACTATTAAAATTTATATATTCACACGTTTTATTCTAATTAAGAGTATATCTCTTTCATTCCGTATTCATTTCAAGTATTCATTCCGATTACGAGGGATGATTTCCCTATCGTCATTTTTCGTCACTACCTCCACGTTCCGGGAGTGAGTAATTTGCGCGCCTGCTGCTTTCCTTGGATGTAGTAGCAGTTTCTCAGACTCCCTCTCCGGAATCGAACCCTAATTTCCCGTTACCCGTTACAACCATGATATTGATAGTAACTACTATCATAACATAAAACTAAAAAATTAAAAATAAATATAGTTTAAAAAACCCAGCACAGGGGGGTCGCGGCACAGTGGTGACGTGGCATAGTTGGATCAAGTATAATGATATCTGACAGTTATTAAAATCACTATCAGAAAAAAACGCTTCGATGCAAATCTTTAAATACTGTTTAATTTTAAAAACTTGGTATATTATTCCAAAAGCTACATAATCTGCTAGTTCCTCATTAATATCCTGATTAAGATAAAGTATGTCGAAGGAAAAAGGGATTATTAAAAAATATTATTTCTCATTAAAAAATTATGTTGATTCATACACTTTTCAATAAGTTATATCATTATAAAGTTAAAAATGAAAAAAATAAAATCGAGAATTTTCACACAATAATAGCATTTTGTAGCTATTTTCACCGTGAAGACAAAATAAAGTCCGAATTTTTTTTTTTTTTTTGCATAATAAAGTAAATTACATTAGCTTTAATTTAAGATATATATAAAAGTGTCAGACTTTCCGGAACAATTTCAAAATTTAAGTTGAAAAAGTTGTCATTTTAAATCCCCCTCTGTGGGCAGGTAAAGAGTCAGACATAAAAAAAAAAAATATCAAATGAAAGGCAATGATATTATGTATCTATATAAAAAAAAATTATATTGATTGGGTTATTTTTAAAAAAGATATAGCAATTTTAAGTAAAAAAAATTAGAATATTTGCGATTTATAAATTTGTAATTTTTTGGAGGTTTCCCCCATTTACGATAGCGAGGAAATTTTTTTCAATTTTTGAGGGTAATGTCTTCGACTAGATACGATTTGTGATCTTTGGAAGTATCATTGAAAGAAATCGGTTCGGTGAGAGCTGAGAAAAAGTGGTAACAGACACAAAAAAAAAACACATCTTAGTAAAACCAATACCTTCTCAGCTTCGCATCGAAGCTAAAATATCCTTTTTTGATTAGTCAATACGCATACGTGTATACATAAAAATGAAAATTTGGCTTTTCGATTGATTATAAACGTCGGATTGGAATGATAACATGACGATGCAAGTAATATCGGCAGGACGACCGAAACCGGGTCGTGGTCCGGAAACACGGACGATAGAAAGTCGCACGGTTCAAAGCTCAATTTGCGCGTGTGACGGAAAACTCCAGCAGCCGTGTTGTCGCGAATTTTGCGTCGCGCGTAAAAAAATTGATGGGGCGTGGTTAGGCATTAGCGTTTTACGAAAAATGTAAAAACACGAAACAGTGTCTTAGGGTTCGGAAGTACGGCTAAATAAGTGAATAGCCCTATTCGATCGTGCCACAAAAATCGGCGGCGGGGTCTGATTGAACTCGGTTTAAATGCTGACGACTCTCGGAGATTATAAAGCGACGGAGTCCAAAGTCCAACCTGGGAGTGGCTAAAAATTACCGGGCTGAAAAATCTGTTAGCGTTATATTAAGTGCAACATATTTAGTGTATGCGGTCCAACGGCGCACACCTCGAAAAAGCCCAAGGGGCTAAAAAAAAAACGCAAGGGTCCGAAACGTAAGTACACTTATTAATTTATACTTTTATTAATCATGCATCCATATCGTATTGATGACGGATGATATTCGTTTTCGCAGTGTGCTGGAGGTGCAAGAGTGGTGGCCACATAAATCGGGAATGCCCGAGTAGTTAAACATAAAACTACGACTTATATCCATATGTTAAAAAAACTTTTTTTTTTTTTAGAACGTAAAACAGCACCAAAACTACACCAACGCCTATGGAATTGGAGCAACTGGCTCGCCGCAATGCGGAGGAGGTCGATCGATGAAGGTTGCTTCTGCAAAAGGCCACAACGGTCTCCTCCTCCACCGAGGACTGCGGAATGGGTCGCCAACCGGGGCAAGGTATGAAATACATACGTACAATAGAGGCAGAACTAATAATGATTGATTTTCCAAAAAATCAAATTATTTAAGAAAATAATATGGAATAAATTTTTCGTTCAAAACTAAGGAAATTTATTTATGGTAAACCGATAATAGCTAATGAAGTACGAGTACGCAAACAGGTATTATTAATTCTTAGTGCTATATTCTGCCTCTTGCATTTATTTATTTCATATTGTTACAATAGATGCATAACAATAAGCGTGTTTTTTAGTTTCAGAATCGAATTAAACAATTATTTAAATATTTATACATATATATTAATTATAAATATATTAATAAAAATAAACATAAAATTAAAAACGTGTTGTTGATTTATTTTCATGTTATTATAATATAATATATTAAATAATTACAGTGGTTAATTGTGTATCGAGGTAGTAAAATGTCAACTGAATAACATTATAATTAGTAAAAATATTTCACAAAAGATTATACAATAATCGTTTTTTAAAATAAGATAAATCAAAAACGGTTTGTCTTTAAATCATATGATAAAAGAACAGGTCGACATGTACAGCACACAATTTATTTGCAAGTTGAAATAAAAAAATTATATATAATACATTGAATACGCGAAAATAGCATCGTCAAAACTCATCAAAATTTAAAGTATCTAAAAAAAAAAAAAGTATAATCATTCGGTTATTTTTAAAAAAATTATAGCAATTTTAATTTAAAAAAATCCAGCACAGGGGGGTCNTTAATTAGTTTATAAAAAATCCAGCACAGGGGGGTCGCGGCACAATGGTGACGTGGCATAGTTGGATCAACTATAATGATATCTGACAGTGATTAAAATCACTATCAAAAATAAACGCTTCGATGCAAATCTTTAGATAGTGTATAATTTTAAAAATATTGGTGTTTTATTCCACAAGCTACTTGATCTGANAATTGGTGGACTATTCCAAAAGCTACATTATCTGCTAGTTCATTATTAATATCCTAATTAAGATAAAGTATGTCGAATGAAAAAGGGTTTATTATAAAATATTATTTCTCATAAAAAAATAATGTTGATCCATACACTTTTCATTATGTCATAGCATTATAAAATTAAAAATATAAATAATAAAATCGAGAATTTTCACACGAAAATAGCATTCGGTAGCCATTTTCGCCGTGAATAAAAGTCCAGAGGTCAAATTTTTTTTTTTCAAATTAAAGTATATTACATTAGCTTTAATTTAAGATATATATAAAAGTGTCAGACCTTCCGGAACATTTTCAAAAGTTAAGTTGAAAAAGTAAATTTTTTGTGAAAAAGTTGTCATTTTAAATCCCCCCCTGTGGGCAGGTTAAGTGTCAGATTTACAAAAAAAATATACCAAATGATAAGTAAAGACATCAAACATCTATATATAAAAGAATTATATTGATATGTTCATTTTTGAAAAAGTTAGGGCACTTTAAAGTAAAAAAAATTGAAAAAATTTCGAAAATTAGCGATTTTTAAATTTGTAATTTTTTTGGAGGTTTCCCCCATTTACGGGGAACGAGGGAAATTTTTTCAATTTTGAAGGGTAATGTCTTCGACTAGATACGATTTGTGATCTTTTGACGTATCGTTGAAAGAAATCGGTTCGGTGAGAGCTGAGAAAAAGTGGTAACAGACACAAAAAAAAAAACACATCATAGTAAAACCAATACCTTCTCAGCTTCGCATCGAAGCTAAAATAGAAAAAATGTCGAAAATTAGCAATTTTTAAATTTGTAATTTTTAGGGTGGTTTTCCCCATTTACGGGGATTGAGGGAAATTTTTTTAATTTTTGAGTATGTTTTCGACTAGATACGATTTGTGATCATTTGACGTATCGTTGAAAGAAAATAAATCTAATATAATAAAAAGTGATAAAAGCCAAAAAAAACACATCATAGTAAAATTCATACCTTCTCAGCTTCGCATCGAAGCTAAAAGGAAATTTTGAAAATAAAATTTAATTTTGGCCAGATTTTTATTAAAACACTGTGCGACCTTCAACAAAATTCAGCTTAATCATTTTTTTATATTCATAAATTTATTTCACAAAGTATCACTATCAGATTTATCATGGGGCCTATTTCGACTTCTCTCATACTCCTTAAACATAAGAAAAATATATAATATGCCTAACAAATTGTATGTTAAACTCGTAAGTATTTTCGTTATGGAAGAAAAATACCACTATCCTTCTACAAGACATGAGCATGTAAGGTTGTTTTGAGGATTATTCGACGTGTGCACACAAACAATTTTAAAAATTAGCGTATACCCTCGAAAAATAATACTGTTGAACTATTTTTATTGTGAGGTATACGCTTACAAATCAGAGTATACCATAAAATAATATGTATAAGTTCAATAAAGTCACAGTGATTTATTGTTTAAAGACTACATTTATGTGGATGGTAATGTGTATTAACCAAACAATGACAATTTTTTTTTAAATAATTTAAATGAACACACTTTTAAAATAGCGCTGATACGTTTTTTGCAAGATCAGTAATATATGTAATTGTACGGCGTAAGGTTTTAACTTGAGCATAAATAAATATGTACATTTTATTTGCTGCAATAGCTACAAAGAAACAAGACGAATAAATATATATTTAAAATTTTAATTTAGGAAGTACGTTATCAGTATATAATTTTTTTAACTTTGATCCAAAGCTGAGAAAATATTAATTTTATAATGATATAGTTTTTTTTTTTTTGTGTGTCTGTTACGACTTTTTCTCAGTTTATTTTTAATTTGAATCAATTCCATTTATACAAGGGGGATCAAAACTTAAAAATAAATATAGAAAGTAGAACATATTCAACTCAATTTTTGAAAATGTTTCGGAAATACTGAGACTTTTATATACACATTAAATTAAAGCTTATACAATATATTTTAATATGAAAAAAAAATGTCTGACTTTATTTTGTCTTCATAGTGAAAATAGCTACCGTATGCTATTTTTGTGTTTAAATTTTCGATTAGGAATTTTATTTTTTTTTTTAAATACCTTACAAAAGTATTTGAATTAGAAAAATATTTTCAACTTATTTGATTTTTATCTCATATAGATTCAATAGCTTCAATAAAGATTAAGGATCCCATCACTGTAGTCGACTCGCATGAGAACAAATTTCTTATTCATATTAAAATTATTTTATTATATTTTAGGTTTTAGCTTCGATGCAAAACTGAGAAGGTAATTTTTTGTGACTATCATTTATTTCCTCTGCTCTAACTTGACCTACTTTTTTCAACAATACGTCAAATGATTACAATTCATATCTAGTTGAAGTACTACCCTCAAAAATTGAAAAAAAATTCTAACTAGAAATTAGAAATTTACTTAGCCTATATTTTCCATATAGATAACAAAAATCATTCATTCTTAATGTTTTCAAAGTATTTATTGACTAATCAAGTTTGATATGATAGTTTTCAACTACAAAATTAAATCATTTTATTTTGTAATTTAATAATTTTTTTTACTCAATTTGTGTGTGCTATGGCCAATCTATAAACTTTTTTTTTTAATATTGAGCTTTTCTGATATATTTATTATAAATAGTAATTATAAAACTTCCTGACTGCATATTTATCTTAACATTACAATATTTTGAATTCTCATAAAATTTTCTATTTAATGATGTCAATTTCAAACTTGCTAATTGAGCTAAGAGTTCTAGTAATAAATAAATTTTTTTTTATTATAAACTTACACAAAAACCAACTTTAGAGGATTAAAAAAATAGGTTAAATAAGGAATAAAATAAGGAAAATGACATTCCTTATTTTTAACTTATTAAAAATCAAAGTCAGTATTATTTTAAAACAATTTTTTTTTATTCTTAATTATATCTTTATATGTAAATACTTATGTTTTAATAATATTATTAATATTAAAACTATGAAGTGATAGAAAAAGTCTAATTGCACATTTGAAAACATCGCAAAGATTTAGAAAAGTATATTTTTGTTTCTGATGAAAGTTCCTTGTAGTCTAATGTATAAAACTTATAATTTTGTTATAAAGAAAAAACATTTTTTTATTGAAAAGTAATTCATCAAGCCCTTTAAATTTTTATACGCATTAAAAGTTAAGAAATATACAACTACTTTATTATTTTTATAATATCTCCGTACACATTACAATATTAAATTATTGAATATCAATTTAATACTAAATTTAATTAATGTTATTAGTATTTATTCATACATTATATTTTTAAATCAAAAGATCACTAATCAGGATATAATTAAGGGGATAAAAGTTGTTGTTGTTTTTGAAATAATCTACCAATTTCTTAAAGTTAAACATGTATACAGATTTGCATCGAAGCAAATCTTATGATAGTGATTTTAATCATCTATACTTGTCCCAACTATGCCACTTCCATACTGTGCCGCGACCCTACTGTGCTACCGTTTTTTTTTTAATAACATTTTGATTGGTTTTTTTAGTTAAAGTAAATCATTAAAATTAATTATATTTTGAATGTTTCAATTGTAGAAAATTTTTAAACACGAAAAATTAAAAATAATTACTATAATTTCTATTTATGTGATTTATTACAATAAAAAGGAAAAAAAATATTGAGCATCCGATAAATTAATAGTAAATAGTAATAATACAATTTCCTCCTTGCATATTAATCTTAACAATACTTTTTTAAAATAAGGATAGAATACAATGTATTCCCATAAATTAGCGACCCATCATTTATTAGATTCATTTTTTCTACAATTATCTTTTAAAAAGATAATCTCTTATCTCAGAGATAAACAGTCTCTGATTACTTCAGTAATACAATAGCGTAATTTCAATGAAGAGTATTTAAGGCATCTAGGTACTGACCTTTTTTCAGGGGTTAGATGTAGGCAATTTTGCGATTTTTAATATTAAGCGGTGTCTTTGCGTGAGAAATAAATGATTATTAGTGGAAGTGTCCATAATTGGGAGTATTGTAGTTAGTTTCTTAATTGAGGTTTAAAAAAGGGAATTTATTAAAATATATTGCTGAATACATCAACAAGATAATTTTTTTATCTTTTGGTGTATTGCTGAACAATAACAGCCCAGTACAGATATGGATAGACACAAACAAAACTCATTTAATAATAAAACTAATACCTTCTCAGTTTTCTGTTGAAGCCAAGAAAGAGTATGAAAATTATTTTTATATACACGTACCACATATTTATTTTGACGCCACTTTTTTAATGTTAATACATAACCTCTATTCTTTTTTTTTTATATACAGCTGTATTGTTTTACGATTCACGATTTTTTTAGCGAAACTTAAGTATTGGTAAATGACAACATTTGTTTACTACTATGCAATAATAGCTTAGTCGGTCATTAAATAAAAGGAAATAATCGAATATCGTTTATACAAGTATAATATCAAGTGTGTAATTATTTTTAGGCTGTCGATATTTCCTTACGCAACTCTATTGGCAATAAATTAGCTATTGTGGATAACGCATATCGCGCACGAGCATGTCAGATATAACAAATACTGTTTAAAAACTATTAGTTAGAAGGTAAAAAACTACTCATTTTTGTTCCATCAGTACGCCAAAATTACTGATGCGATAAGAATTCTGAAACAGATCTGAATTCAGCATTATATCACTTAAATATCGGTCAGGCCACTATTTTAAAATTGTGATTTCTTTAACGCAAAAATTTATTTTGTACAAAATTAAATTTTCAAAAATGTATACTGTACTTATACTTAAAAAAAATTAACATTTAATATATAGCAACGTACAATTTTGTTAATCTTTTAATATATAAACTATATATAGTTAATATATATATTTTGTTTGTTTATAAAATAAAATAGATGATTTATTTATATTCATTACGTTAACGTATTAACTAATTACAAATACCCTGAAGTATAAACTATCGAGTTTTTAAATTATTATTATTCACTAGCGAAAACTAAGATATTGACTTTACTAATTTTATATACAATCTAATATTACCATATTTTAAGTAATAAATTATAAACTTGGTCGTGTCTTAAATATGATACGATTTTTTTTTTACAAGCAATAAATACTAGTTATATCAAATAAATTATTTTATTAAATGGGAAACATTAATTAAATAAAGACTAAACAATTTAACATATTATTGTGCATTTAATGAGATTTTTAAAAAGTAATTGTAGTTTATTTAACAATTAAAATATAAATATAAACAGATTAAAACAATAAACTAAACACAAATAACATAGACACATATAATAGTAATTAAAATAACACGCATAAATACTGTAATCCTGTTAAAGCAAAAAGAAAAGAAAATATTTATACTAAAAGATTAGTAAATTATCTATTAAGAAATCTAAATAATAAACAAAATTCACTCCGGTTCTTATTATATTATGCGCAATACGATAGAAGGACCGAACCTAACAAACCCTAGTTGATTAAAACTTTCAAATTCAGAGTCCGAAATCCAAAATTTATACCTCAAATTAATATAATCCAAAAACGAACCCCAATATTTATCCATTTGAGTCTCCTTCAAATACGAGTTATTTAAATCATTCCAACTCGGTATGGATGGTTTTCCTTTAACACAAAAATTTTTCTCCCCCATTATATCATCATTTATTTTTTCTTTAAGTTCCTTAAAAGGTCTAACTAAATCATTAACAGCGGAATCCACAGGTTTTTCACATTCAATAGTAGATACTAATGTATCGATATATGGTTTTATTATCTCTTCGTTTGTATTTATCCACAATGTTTTTAAAAGCCCAATAAGAAATGAATTATCTACTATTTTCATAGAAATCATGTAACATATTACACGTAACATGTATTCTATTTTGTGTGCCATATCTATTATAAACTCATGAAAAATTTCTAAGTAAACAAGTTTCTCGCCTCTTCTATCCAATGCTTTAAACTGAGTTGCCATATATTCAATATAAGTAGCTATATCAAGCAAATTATGAGCGTACTTACACATAATTATTGAACTTACATATTTATCCAACAATATTAGATCATTTGAATCCACGTCATCACATGAAACAGATTTTCCATCTTTAATTATTTTTATATTTTGTAATGACCTCCAACCCGGGTTCACCATTATTCCTAGTGCAAAGTGCGACACAATAGTTTGTAAAGTGATNCTTGCGATAATTTTAGTTTAGAAGAATTCTGTAAAGTGACTTGGCAAGTGGAAAATAATAATAAAATAACAACTTGAATCATAATTTAAGACTATGGTGAACAAAAAGTACTTTAAATAAGTAGAGTAAAAATAACTTTGAAAATTTAAAAACTTTATATGAATTAAAACTCCTATTTATTTTTAAATTACCTTCTTATTTTGAATACGTTTTTAACAAAGTCAATAAAATCGATCAAAAAATATATTTGTATCTATTTGTAGTTATTTTTTTTTTGTATAATTTTATTTTATTTACATATATGCTACTACTCAATTGTATTAATAAAATAGGTATTGATTAAAAATATATACAGGATGATTTTTTTATCATAACCCACTCAATTACTTGCATAATAATAATAATTTAAACATTTTTTTTCTTTATTATCTTTAGTTGCACATTATTCTTGAATTTTTAACTATGTAATACTTTTTAAGTTCATCCCTTATGCCTTGGAAGGGGGTCAACTTTGTTTTTTTAAATGGTAACACATATTTTTAATTTAATAAAATGTTTGAGTTTTTAATTTAATAGTAAATGGCATTTGAATTTTTAATATAACTTAATTCGTTTATTAGATATAATCATTTAAAGTTTCAAATTTTTGAATTAATATACA